TCCTCTGGGGTAGCGCAGCAAAACCCTGCCTTCGGAAAAAACAGAAAGAATTCCCTGCTGGTTTTTCGGGCCGTCTGGATTTCCCAGCTGGACACCCCCGGGCCTGCCTGGCTGGGCGGTGGCCCAGCCTAGGTTATGTCCCAATTATGTCCACACAGGCCCTTTATATAGTTCTGCCTTTGCAGTTCTGCCTAGTTTGCACACTTTTGACTTCATTCCTAGGTACACATACTCTCCGTTGTTAGTGCAAAGATTTTACCCCTCGGCATACCTGCATAAGGCCCCAGCAACAGACGCGTGCCCGCCCTAAGTGAAGGTGGGCCCCTGAATCCCAATGAGCCCTGAATTCGTCAATTTTTGCAAATCTTGGTGGGTGCACGCGCCAGTTGGTTACATCCGCCTTGCTCGTGAGAATCTGAAATATTAAGCCTTCCAGGCTCTTCCAGCAACGTGGTGAAAGCAGGGAACACCGCACGTTTGTGCCTGGGTGGTTGGGCATGCCTAACCAATTTGGTCCCAGGCCCTGTCTGAACGGGCCTTGGCGCAGACACTTCGGCCGAGAATGAAGCTACTGGAAACTCGGTCCCACGAGGCAGGCAGCAGGCAGCGAGCCCGCCACTTTCCATTTAGGAAAGGGCCGGGCTACGCACAAGGGGTTGGGCACTTGCTAGTGCAAGCGGCAGTGCTGCTTGCGCCTGCGTGCTAGTGCTAGGTGTGCGAACGCGAGCGCGGTCACATGTGAGGCAGGGCGCTGCATTGAGGCAGTGCCATAGCCCAGCCCCCATAGCGGGCTTGGGCTTGGTTGTAGCTAGCGGAGGTGTGGTGGTGTTTGTGTTAAGGGGAGACGCGGGTGAAGAAGACGAGGGTGGGAAGAAGAGAGAGAAGAGGATGATGATGTGAAGGCATGTACCTGGTCTTGACGATGGTCTGCATGGTTGACATCTGCTTGTACTTCGGTTGCTGCTGCTGACATGAACAAGTTGCTTGCCATTTCGTTGCTAGTAGTGTAGCTGTAGGATAGTAGTCTGGGCTCTGAGCGCCAGTAGGAGGAAGAGCTACGATTGCATTCTTGGTGGTGGCGAGTATATGCTTTCATTGACAATTGAATTCGATGCTTTGGTTCTCCTTCGGTGTAACATCAGTGCAATTCTGCTTTCTGGACAGGGTTCGACTATCTGCCTTTCATTGTGATTTGCCATCTGGAATTCTGTCATTTCGCTATTGGTCATTTCCCTTGCATTAGTCATAAGACTCATAACCCTTTTTTGTTTTAAAATTTTAATATATTAAGTGAGTCACAGTTATTAAATTTTGGGTATTGCAGTTATTGTGGTTGCGATTGTCGAGTGTACAGCTAATTACACTGGCAAAATTAGCATCTCCAGATAATTTTTGCCTACCTGATCATGCAACTGGGCCAAGTTATTCTTGCCAGGTCTAAATGCATCCGCATCCAGGCGCATGATCATTTTGCCTACGGATGGAGAAGGAACCTGACTCTGCAAACGTCCAGATGCAAGGACCAAGTTATTCTGTGCTGTACCACGACTCACGGATGGAGACGGAACCTGACTGTTGCTCCCCAGAACCGAGCAGCGCCAGGACCATAAGGTTCTGTCTTTCAACCAACCAAAAAAAGAAGAGGTGGTTGTTTGCAGATGGATTGTAGCTAAGCTGATATAACTCATCTGTACTTGCCTCCACACGCTTAACAATGATGTCAGAGTGCTGCAGTCCTTGTCGCCTCTACATGTGCAAGGAAAATGAGCAATAGCGAGATGACAATAAGCAGATTGCATAATCACATTGAAGGCCAGATAGTATCACAGTGTCCAGAAAGCAGAAATGCACCAATATAACACCAATGAAGATTCGTAACACTGAAAACCAATGTCAATGAGAGCTTGCTCTCGCCACCACCAACATGAGTGTCCAGGCCCTATCTTCCTACTTGGCGCTCGGCGCCCAGCCTACTTTCTACACAGCTACTCTCTGCCTACTAATTGACAATGCAACTGTTGATGTCAGCAGTCTCCGAAGTACTTGAAGATGCCGCCCATGCAGACCATCACCAATACCAGGTATGTGCCCTCACATCATCATCATCATCATCCTTCTCTCTCTCCCTCGTCTTACTCCCACATCTTCCCTTTGTACACCCGAAGACCACCCCTGCGCCTCACTGTACAACCAAGCCCCCTCAGCCAGGTATGGAGGCTGGGCTATGGCGCTGCCCTCAGCAGCGCCCTGCTCCCTGTATGACCGCACGCGCTTGCACCTCACATCTCAGCGCCAGCAGCAGCCCACGAGCGTCCGCTCCAGCAGCGCTGCTGCTAGAATGCGAGTGCCTGAATGAGGCTGCCGGTGGCGAGCTCTTTCCTATATGGAAAGAGCCTCCTGCCTTCGCAGCCTAGCTGGACTGGCCAGGGCCCAGAAGCTTCCGGTAGGCCCCAGGATGCTGCGCTTGTGTTGCAGTCACTGGGCCTTTTTCGGTTGGGCCTCTCAACTGTCAGTGTCTGAGGCTGCGATTCTCGCCCAGGGCCTGCATTCTTGGAAAAGCGCAGAAGGTCGTGCAATATCTTTGTTGCTCGGCCTGTGTTTCCCTTCAACCAACTGGCGCGTCACAACTGCCTGGACCCCAAATACGAAATTGACAGCTGAGGGCCTCTCGTGATTTAGTAGGCCCGCCTTCACTTAGGGCGGGCACAGATGCAACAGGGGCCCCTTAGGCCTGCCGAGGACCGAATCCTCGCGCATGCTTATCAGCGAGGTCAGAGTGCAGTCCCTTGTTGAATACAACGACCAACGTCAATAGTTTGTGTTGGATGCGAGGTGGACAAAACACAGATGGCAAAGTTGTGGAACCTGCGAGTGGATGTAATGCAATGATGAAGCACACAGCAAGGGGGATTTCCGCAGATGGATGTAACAGAAGTCGGTTTTCCACAGGTCTTCTTCTATCCCTTTCTGCTGTGAATACCATGCTGCTGTTTGCACAGTCAGCAGACTGCAGGAGCTGTAGGATATGGTGCCCGGCTGCCGCTTGAGACGACATTCTGTGACTGATTTTGGTGCTAGGAGCACGCCACACATGCCTGTCTCTGCTCAAGTCTTTTTTGTTTAACGAGAGTGTATCAATGACATCTACTGCCTTCACCCAAATAGAACGTACGATCATCATTATCGCCGTATCTAGACTGAAAGTTGCCCCAAATGTGACCGTAAATTCGATTCTGGGGAAGATGTTAGGAGCCGCTTGAGATGGCATTCTGCTGCCAATCTTGGTGCTATGGGTAGGAGCATACCATGCGTGTCTGCACAGCTTGTTTGTTCACAGAAGAGAAAAGAAATGCTTGCTCCTGATTAAGCACTGTGATCCTCGTCCTTGACCTTGCCGCATGTTAATGGGTGGTGATTGAACTGTGGGAAATGCATTATTTGCAGACCGGATACACAGCAGAGGTTATAGTGAATGAAAGCTCAGAGCAGGAATTAGGCCACATTCTGTGGACATATGGCGAAGAGCGAAAATGGAGATGGTTGGCAGGGAAGATTGTTCAAGCCAGGCAGAAGTGCAGAATTACAACAACAAAACAGCTGGCAGACATCATTGGTGGTGGGGGGTATCGCCCACGAGGTTCAGGTGAGACATGCGTCCTTTGTTGTGGGTGGCTGCAAATGGTTTTGGATGGTTTGACCAGACAGCAAGCCTGAACCACGCAAGTGTCGACTTCCTGGGTTGGGGATCCAAAGAAAAGAAATGAACAAGGAGCATTGGGGACCGTAAAAAAGCCTTGATACAGTAATGCAGATATGCTAGAGGCAGTGGAAGACTAACCAATGATGCTAACCATGGTACAAAAAATGAACACCAAAGGGAGATGATGTAAAATGACTAGCAGCGACAGAACAACAGCTGTTTTCTGAGAGGGAAAAACAAGAAAAGGGGAAACGAGCTCAGAGAAGAGAAGCGGGCATAAGGACAATGAAATCCAAAAAGATGCAATGACAAATAGGAAAGGTCAGCTATGGATGCATAGCTAGTTCTGTGTGTGTGTGTGTGTGTGTGTGTGTGTG